GGAGTGGGGTTGATTGTGCGTGCGTGCGCGCATGTGCGCGCGGGGGGTTTTGTGGTGGTGTCGCGGGCCCTCTCACATACATGGATGTGGGTGCGCTGAGGGCTGGGGAGTGTGTGTGTGGGTATAATTTGAGGATTCGATGATTCATGCGAGCTTGTGTGTGTGTGTGTGTGTGTGTGTGTGTGTGTGTGTGTGTGTGTGTGTGTGCATTTCTCAGGGCGCACGCCTCTGCAGGGAGCAAATACCAACTTTGATGAGTGCTAGCGACACCATTGGGCCTTCGTGGTCATTGTACGACTGGTTGAGCTGCCTGCTGGGCTCTGCCAGACCTGATCGCCAGGCCCCGGTGCAAACAAGATGGGTGGGGCATTGATTATAGCGCTGCGGCCTGGCGGCCGTGGCTGCGGTGCGGATCGTCCATCATTTGCAGTCCAGCCCGTCCATCATTTGCAGTTCAGCCCGATGTTGCACTGCCCAGCCCACATTGGGCCGGAAAGTGTCCGGCCTGCACTCATGTTGTCGCCCCACAACAGCCACCTTGCCGCCGCTTGGAGTCGCCGTGGGACCCTGAGCGGCCCGCCAGCAGGCTGCTGTGGGGTGCCGCCTGCCGTATGTGTGCGCACGACTCGCAAGGACCACGGCGCCCCCCCTTATTTAAAACGGTTTTTCCTCTCGAAGTCCATAATCAACCAGCATCACTACTTCAAGAGTGATCCGCATACCTATTGCCACACGTATATACAAGTTATGTTGACATTGTATGATTTTGCTAAATTTATTTATAATTGGGACCAACTGAGTCGGCACGGGTCGAATCTGAGACCCCCCCTTGCAACCCCCCCCCCCCCAAGGGCATCGACTACCTGTGCCGCCGCATCGGGGTGAAGCGCGACCAGATGGACCTCACGGGACACACCATACTCGCCACCGCCGCCTGCAGCCAGGTTGGCGCGCGCGCGACTGCATGCCCCCAGGCCCTGGCTTGCGCCAACACATGCATATCGGTCAGGCTGCTGGGGCATGGTGAGGCCGATGCCACACCCCCATCCCCCCTTCTTAAATCCCAACGCACTCAGCAGCGCCGTTTCCCTGCACTACTTCCCGGCCTGTTTGACGTGCATCTTTGCGCTTGCGGCACCTCCCCCCCCCCCGCCCCGTTGCAGGACGACACTTTCTTTGCCCTGGTCAAGTACAACTACAGGAGCAAGACCATGGGGGACGACCGCGACTGGTGGGGGGGAGGGGGGGTGCACCACGCCCAGCGCATGGTCGCGCTGGGCGTGCTAGGGGCCGTGTCGGCCCGGGCTGGGCGCCGGTGACATAATTTCATGGGTGATAAGGGGACCTAGGGGGGGAGTGGAGACTTGTGTGTCGCTCGGGTTTCGTGGCCCCTCTTGTGCAGATGGGAGCAAAAGAGTGCGTGGATCTTTCGATTTTAGGGAGCGAGCTTGGAGTCACTGGGCAAGGGTTTCAGCATCAGACGCAGGCCTGCTGAGTGGATCTGTTGCAGCCGCCTTTCGAAGCTGAAATAACCACTGTGCCCGCCTAGACGCCTGAACGCTTCCCGCGACCACACACCGCGCCCCTCGCATTCTGAAACCTCCCAGTGTCGGTTACAAGATCATGGAGATGGACGTGATGTACGACGACACGGTGCTCAAGGTGATGTCACTGTGATGTCATGGGGGCGCTTTGGCGGGGGGTCTGTACGGCAGCGGTGCCGGCGCAGGCGTCGGGCCTGCCTGCCAGAGCCCCGCCTTTACTCACTTCTGCAACTCAAACTTTCCTGCCCGCCGCACTCATCCTCCTCCTCGGCCAACCCTCATATCGCCCCCCATCACATCCTACGACAGTCTCCGCATCCCTACTAGCCGGCACCCCCAGCCCTGCCACTCAAAATTCAAAATAAAATTCAATAATTCATTTTTTTCACACGCAGGTGATGGGCATCCACGAGCGCAACTCCCTGGCGCCCGACGACCTGGCGCCCGTGGCCTCCCTGGACTCCGCCCACGGCGCCGCCGCGGCCACGCCCTTCCCAGAGGAGGACCTGGGCCCCTACCCCCAGGGCCTGAGTGATGACAGGGTGCTGGCACACAGCAAGGCGTGGTGCCAGGCGCGCTCCTCGGGTGCGCGCGACGCACGCGGCGCGCGCGCGGGGTCCTTGCGTATGTGCGCGTGGCTGGGGTCGGTCGTGACGCGCAAACAGGCGCGGCCGAGGGGTGCCTCGACAGGGATTGTTTTCTGATGATTGAAGAAGGCTGCTGCCTGAGGACCCATCTTGCAGCCTGCACACGATGTGCACACCACACCCAGAGGACAGGACTGTTGTCTATGGCTATCCCATACTTTTCAACGTTGAGTTCGCGAATTATGATGATTAGGAGCTTCTTGGCAACATCACCCGCCCCTGCCTGTGCGTTGTCGTACGCCCCCAGGCCAGCCTGAGCAGATCCTGGACAAGGTCCTGGACCCCTCCTTCAGGTGCGTGCACGCGCGTGAACGTGAGTGCATGTGTGTGTGCATGCATGTGCGCGGGTGCGTGTGTGCTTGTGTGGGCAAGAGAGTTTGGCAACGAGACAGGGTTGAGGGTGATTTTTGCGGGGGTGGGGAGGAATTACAGCGGGACGATGCTCTCACTTGATGGGCCCATGCAATCAGCAGGGGTTCAACGGCCAAAGGTTTTTTTTTGGTGCCACACAATCCAGGCCGACTGTTTACACCCAATTGACCCTCTGTCCGCCCTCTCCTGGCGGTCCAGGCTGTGGGACGCCTACGGCGTGCTGCCTGTGCTCTGCGACCCCGCGCGGCGCAGCGACACCGACGCCTGCTGTGTGCGCTACGACGCCGTTAAGGACATCATCAAGCAGACCAAGGAGCGGTGAGTGCTGAGGACCGCAGCTGCCCGGGCAGTAACCAGTAACACGTGACGATGTCATGGCAGCCTTTTGTAGCCCCTCTGCGTGCGGCGGGGCGGCTTCATCTGGACCTGCGCTGGCTCCTGGAGCCGCCCCGCGGCATGCCCGAGGTCCATTTGTGGCCCAAAGAAGGGTCGTTGAAAATCACCGCGCCAGAGAGGGCAAATTCTGAGAGGGTGACCTTGTGCAACCCCTTATTGGGCCCAGCGAGGTTGCAAGGGGGGGGTGTCTGGGGGGTGGCTGTTGGGCATAGGTTGGACGCTGACCCAGTCCGAGTGGGCTTCAAGGGCATGTGCATGCTGCATGCCGGGCTCCTCTTGTCAGCAAGCACCCGTCATGAGGCCCATACCCTCCCCACAACCAGCATGATCCCCGCTAAATATTATGCCCGGTTGGGCCGACTCATCCCCAGGCCAAAATCCCGCTTTGCCACCCCGACCCAATCCTCAACCCGTCTGCATGCCTGACGGTTTTTCCTAACCTCGGGCATTGACGCAAGGTTTCTCACAACCACTTTGAACAAGCGGCGACACACGAAGCGCAAGTAACTCAAACATTCACATGTGACCTGATCACCCAGCATCATGAATGCCCCCCCCCCTCCCCAGGCACGTACACTCGCACATACGCACACGCACGTGCATGCAACCCCCTCTCCATCCCCGTCCCCAATCACCCACCGACCATCCAGCCACCACCCACCCACCAACCAACCCCCAATTACTCGCCGTACCTTGACCG